GACTTCTAATTTACCTATTTCAATGACAGCAACACTTTCCAAAGATAGTTCTTTTCTTTTTCTTAGTGCAGTCTACATTTCAGTGGTCAGTAGCAAAGGAAGAATGTCATTTTGGAGAAGATAACAAAGAATTAAAAATCTAAAAGTACTATTAAATTTAATGGAAACAGTGTTAAGAAGGGTGTTAATATTACCGGGTACAATCAACTTAAATCATGAAAAGAACAAAATTTAGCCACCTCTGAAGCTCTTCACATCCCCAATTTAGTCTATTCTAAACACATCCTATTTACTTTCTCATTTTTAATGAAAAATTGTTATAATGGAGAATGCCATGTTTACTGTTTCATAATCATGATGGTTTTGGGAGAAAACACACAAATATTATTGGCTGGCAAATACTTTTTTTATATATATCATGAGAAAACATTGTATGAACACATTTCTTGCGTGAGTAGTTCATTCGATGAAATAGCACTATTTCCTGCTTTTTTTTCCTAGAAACGAAAATGTTATTCAACTATCTTCTCATTCTCCTACAAGATACTTAGTTTATCTAATTATATTTGCTATTCCCATTTATATTATGGATGTTGATAAGGTCAGCAATGTTGAGTTGAATGGAATTGCTTAATTCTTTTGTAAAGAGTTATGACAACAGTTTCCTCCTTTGCCCTCAAGTGGGTGTTATTAAAGGGCCTTTCACCCCTTTAATGCTGCCATTAACATTCAAAAACAGCTCTGAGTGATCTAATTCAGATGTGGCTATAATTATGCCAGAATCAGTCTCATTTTGCAAGATGGATTTGATAAGAAGGTTTGTGTTGGCTTTCAATCTCTCTGCTGGACCACATATTGAAAATTTAACTATTTCAATAATAGCAACACTTTTCAAAAGGTTTTTTATTTTTTTTCTTCTTATTGGAAGTAAGTAAGATGGAATTACCAGTAACAAAGGTGGAATGCCATTTTAGAGAAGTTAACAAAAAATAAGAACCTAAAAACCTTAAATTTAAATGAACAAGCATTAAGAAATATGTTAATATTACTGGGCACAATGATTTTAGCTCACAAACTGAACAAAATTCTATCACTACTGAAGAGTCTAACAACATTCCCAAATTATTTTATCTATTTTAATTTCATTATGATTTCACCATGAATGCACAATGGATACAGCATGGTTCTACGACAGGTTTGTCACCTCTGAGGAATCTAGAATCATTTTACAGTTCCATGTGAATACAACTGTACTTGTCTAAAACAACAGTTTTTAGTCTGATTCATTCTTTCTCCTTCATAGAGAAATAAAAGCGTGGGGGTGGGGGGCGGCAGAGGGGGGCACTTGCTCCCCAACCCCCGCAAGTCCAAGCGGGCGCTAGACCAGGCGCGGAGTAACATTACAGGCACCACAAATATGAAACGTGCCTGACTGAGGGAGCCAGACAAGAAGGGGGAAGGCATTTCAGCTCACAAGTTACTGCTTATCAACGTTTGTTCATCTTGAAATTGGTGGTGGTGGGGCGGGGGCTCAATTTAGGAATTGCCCCTGGGCGCTTGTTACCTTCCCCAGTCCCTTATGGAGAGAAGCAGGAGATTTAGTAGGAACAGTTGTATGCAATCTCTTTTGTAGCAAAAACAAGCCTCCACTACATACAAATAAACTTTGCTGTTTTGTCTGCAGGCATCACTTGACTGCTACCCTGTAGTGACCTGTGAAGGAAACATAAGAGTTTCTAATGCTTGGCTAACACTCCAGGCTTACAAATGGCATCAGATCCAGACCATTACAGCTGAAACCACAAAGCAAACTGAAAGAGAGTTTAAGCAATTGTCAAAGCAATTTAGGTACATGTTAGGTGACAGAGAAATAAGGGAATTCAAGGCCCAAATCCCTGAAGTTGGTCATCTGCATTTAAAATTCACTGACCAATTGCACTATTTCATCATTTGTTTTGACATTGTTTTGTTTGGGCTTATTGTATTATGGGCACAGTTTTATTTAAACAAATTTTTACGTCTTTTGCTAAGAGACACTTATTTGGGTGGAGGTACCAATATGCAAAATGAGAAGATATGTCTTTGCTGTTGTGTTAGATGTAGTAGTGTTCAGGGTAAAGAAAATAATGTCCAAGGGCTTGTACTAAGGTAAAGAGCAGGTAAAAGAGAAGAGTCTCCTGGTGGATGAAAAGCAAAAGAAGATC